ATTGAACCATGTGATGAAGGAATTGTGTTTTTCTTTTTTCGAGTGCCAATATTCTCATACATCCATGATATATTGTCTGAATTGATTATGGCTTAACAAGGAAGTGTTAGTTTGTAGAATCCCCTCCCCTGATCAGGTTTTTTCCTAAACGAGAGGAGCACGACACACATTTTATGATCCGCCCTTGACCATGGGCTCTGGGAAAGATAGTTGCCCATAGAAGAGCGCGATCAAAATCTTCAGATATTAGAATTAGATATATCCTGGACCTGGATTGATGTGGTGTATGAGTGTTGCGGATGCAAGTGAATAAGCGCTGTTGAGGAAAAGTTTTCATATATGTGTCATACAGAAGTTCCGGTTCACACAACCTTCTTATGATTTACTCATTTTCTTCTATATAGGCCAGGCAGGGAGAGGGTAATTTCCAGCGATCCAACCATCTGTCCGGGGCTGCGTTGAAATCCCCTTCCATGATAAACGGTATCCCATTAGGGATGTGCATTCTGATTTTCTCAAATTGATACTCTCATGTAGATCATTTGTTGGCAAGATGAAGGCTAAACACGATGCCGATGCGGCCAAAGAGCAGACGACACGCGAAGATGAGGAAGGAAAGAAGCGAGAGCATGAAAAAGAGGAGCGGTGTAAACATGACAAGCAACATGAGGACTTTAAGGCTCAAATCAACAAGGAGACATCAGTGAAATTGGATGAGGTTTACAAAACGGTCGAAGGTAAAGAGGTGCCCAAGTTGAAGGTGAGAATTGAGGAGCTCCAGCGACGACCGTGCGTTGCTAGTACATCTGGCGAAGTGATGAAGCCCATAAAAGCCGATGAGGTGCCACGCCTTTGCAATGAGAAGACTGAAACGAAGAAAGTTACGGATAGGCGTGCAGCGATGAAATAAGTGATTCGCCCTCCAACGACGATGTGAGGCGGCCAAAGCTAATGCTGAGTTTTGGAAGGCTGACGCACTCCGTCCTGGCAACAAGTGGGGAGGGGTGGTTATTAGGGACACTCCTACGACTCAAAACAGGGTCAAACCTCGGCTGACACCCATGGAAACTCCTGGTGCTACGAGGGGGGTTGATGATAGGTTGAAAGACATCGTGAAGAGACACCAGAAGGAGTTTAACCTTCTTAGAGAGATGAGGCTCAAGGAGGTGAATTCTCGCAAGCAGAGTGAACATGAAGTTGATCGTTTAAAGGAGGAGATGGCTTGCCTGAAGATGGAGAATCGATCGAATACGCGGAGCAATTTGAGAGCTAAGTTGGATGAGGTTGCGGGCCATCTGCAAGGAAGGAGAAAACACATGGTGATGATGTTTGTTTGAATGCGAAGGGCAAATGTGAGGTTGTTGCCAGCCCTGCTATAATAAATGACAAGGATGTTTTTTTACGAGCAGCAAGAAGGGAGCTACGGGGCCTAAGGAAGGAGGAGGTGGTTAGCATCTGTGAGAAGAAGGGCATCGAGAATATGACACTGGATCCGACCAAGGAGATGATAGCACAGAAACGAGCAACTAAGGCTTTTGAAGAACAAGATGACGAGTCAGGTAAGGGAAACAATACTTCGGTGGTAACCGAGGATGGGGAGGAAAGCTCTGAGAGTGACGGGCGTGATTCAGCTGCTTCTTTGCATCACGCCCGAACGTGGCTTTCTTGTGAGAAGTTGTGGGTCTATGCTTTAATATTCGCTCTCTATCTCTGGACCTGTTGAGGTGTAAATCTTTGAATGCTCTTCTTTGCATTGCGGTATGTGGACTAATCCTTGCTGGTCAAATCCCCTGGGGAACTACGTTAATTAGCTTATTTTTGCATTCTTTGTCTCATCGTCAATTTGGGAATAAGGAGTGGAAGGGTCCAGTAGTGTATGCTCTATTTTCTCTTTGGACGCATCATCTGTATCTCGGCAGTACTAGAAAAGACTTACAGTCAAGATGGAGGCATTGGAGGGAGAATGTTTACACGGCCTGTCAGTGGACGGTGATTGAGGGAGGGCAAAATAACAAGAAATCTATAAGTGGTTACGTAGATGTGGTGCTCACACCTATGTGATTATTCCGTTATGCATATGTTCTTCGGAAACGTTGTTGGCTACGAAGAAGTTTTTTATTTGCATATTTTCCCCTGCACATAATAGTAGGGACAAACCGCGACGGTCTCACAGATGTCAGTCTGGGCTTAAACCACCACTACCCCCGCCGTCATAAATTAGGGGGAACCGGTAGCACAGGTCCATGAGGGCTATCGGTAGCACAGGGGGGGGAACTGGCGGAGTGGCAAAATTAGAAAATGCGTCGAATTACCCCCGCGATGTATTTCACAGTTCAAATGATTTTGTTTTTAAAATATTTTTTCCTGTAAAAATCACGACAAAATCTACGGACCCTCGAATTTTCAAAGTTGTTGGGTCATCCTTCTGATCGCAAAAAATCACGAAAATTGGGTTACTTTTCCCGTTGGCCCATACGTGGTAGAGTAGCAAAAATGAAAAATGTGACAAAACGGCGCGGCATTTACTTCATATTATTTTTTTTTTTTCTTCATTTTTTGATATTTTTCTTGGAAAGTTCGCGGCCTAATCTACAGGATATCAGATTTTCAGATTTTTTTGCCAAATTTTCTAAGCACGAAAAATCGCCAAAGTTCGCGCTTGAAAGTTTTTGGACCGGACCCGCCTGCACCTGTCGGTCGCTGCCCCCCCTAAGAACCCAATCCGTAAGGCCAGGAAAGTCCATTTTAGGCCGGCGAGGGTAGTGGTGGTTTAAGGAGGGATTAAGAGCGAAGAAGCGTGGAGAGGTAAGGAACTTTTTTCCTTTGTTTGTTCTTGGCTCTGGGACTTGTAAGGCTTCACTTTTGTCATTTCATTCTGCTGATGGGATCATGAGCAAAAGCCTTCTGGCAAACTTGGAGTCGTGTAGGTCTAGGTCCACATCTTGTGCGATTATCAAGTGTACAAGTGATGTTATCTTGCTTGATTGTTGGAAAGTCCTGAAGCTATGGTATGAGAGAAGTCTTGTATCATCTGCTTATGGAAAAATGGAGCTTTATCATGTGCGGGGTTGGCTGAAGTGTGGGTTGACCTTGACCTTTGAAACGATTATACCTTTCCCGAGTCTATCGCTTGTGCTAAAAGCCCTGCTATCTAGGTTACTGAGTGATCCTAGCCGTTGTCCCCTGATGGTGTCATGGAATTGTGATAAATTGATAATTGTGTACACTGTCGTTCCAACCTTTAGCGAGAAGCGGACAAGATTTCGGTTGCGTTGCCTTCTATCGCAGTTCATCCTTTTGAAATTTGGCATTCGAGTAAGGAAGCGTATTGTCATTCGGGTTATTTACGATGAACGCCTATATAAGGTTAAGATCCGGCAGTTGTGTGGGCAAATGATTTCTTCGATGGACATAGGTCCAGAATGAAAACTTATATTGACCCCGACATATGAGGATAGTATAGTGTCGTAAAGCGGACGAGGTTTTGACAGTTCATCCTTCAAAATTTAGCATTCGGGTAAGAAAGCGTATTGCCATTTGGGTTATTTACGATGATCGCCTATGTAAGGCCAAAATCCGGCAGTTGTGTGCACGTATCATTTCTTTGACGGACATTGGTCCGATATGGAAACTTATGTTGACCCGGCCTATAAGGATAGTATGGTGTCGTAATAAGAGCATTGGTGATGTTATCCACAACGTTTTTCAATTCTCAAGACTGGAAGAGGTTGTGTGTTGCTGCAAGGATTGTGATTCCGCTCTGCCTCGAGTTGATGGTCACGTTTCTTTTTGCGTGAATGATCTTCCCATTCTTCCCGACTGGTTGAGGAATTCCAAGAACCTGCCACGGCTTTCGACGAGTTGTTTGGTGGTGGCTCTTCGTTCACAAATTTTGTCTGTTTTTTTCGCACATCCATCTCTGCCTTTTGTCGATACCCTCAGTCTGTTTAACGATCTTGTGGGATGCTGCTTCTTGAATCTTGATCCACTCATTTTTTCTACAGCTCTCGGTGAGGATGGCTTGGATTTGGTTTGTCCGCTCCTTCGGAATCTTGTGTGCAGCCCTATCGACCATAATATGGGTGACCCTCTTGCCTGTTGCCTGGTGGTTTATGAATCCGGTATGAGTAAATTGTTTTTTGGAAACCCTTCCTTTGTTCGATGTGCTGAAAGTGAGAGTGTTGTGTGGGCGAGGTGTCAGAGTAAGTATGAAGAAGCAGGGTAATGGAAGAAGAATGGTAGCATAGGTAGGGCGTATTGCATACCGAAGCACAAGGATATCACCCGCTGGAGGCCGATTTGTCCTTCATACCTTGAGTGTTCGGCGTTGGGGGGTCGTGCGGTTTCTCGGGCAGTTAATGCACTCTTTTGGAATCTGCCGAGAGAATCGAACTTGAATTTGTGGAGCGTTGATGGGTTGCTGAAGTGTTTGACCGGGGTCAATAAGCGTTGATGTAATCATTGATGCCTCTTTTAATGTAAAGGATATGTTTTCAAATCTCCCCCACCGATACATTCTGCACACTCTTTCACGGGCTATTGATTATTGGAGGGACAAAGGTTTTCAACTTTTCATTTTGTGGGAGTGAGGAAACAGGGCAAGGGGGCTAAGTTGTTGAAAGGGCGGGTGGAAATGGGCTGGAAGAGGATCTCTCTACAACTCATCATGAAGTTTGTTGAATTTGAGCTTAAACCACCAATACTTGGTCCAACTATCGATGTCGAGCATGGAATGCCCCTGTGCACCAATTTTCGCCGAAGCGCCGAGCTGGGTAGCACGGCGTACACGTACGCGTGCCCCGCATACGAGCATACGTGTATGCACGTATGCGCATACCTACCGCGTATGCGCATACCTCTTTTCAGGGCCCGCGTACGTGGTGGTAGCGGGCCAGTTGGGGGGCCGGTTTTGGCCCCGTAGGCCTAGGGGTGGGCGGGGGTAGCCCGCTGGGGACCAGAGCGGGGTGGAGGGGTGGCGCGGGGCGGGGGGGAGAACGTCCCGACACGATTTTCAAATTCGTGCCGGGAAGGTTTACCCCCCCGAGCCGCGTCAACCCTCCACCCCGCTGCAGTCCGTCCTCGTCATCCTGGTCGTCGCCATCGCCCTGGTCGTCACCTTCGCCACCTGCCGTGTCACCATCGTGGAGCTGTCGTGGAGCTGCTGTGGAGCTGCTGCCATTGCCCTGGTCGCCGGCCTCGCCATCCGCCGTCCGTCCTCGTCATCCTGGTCCTCACCATAGCCCTGGTCGTCACCATCGCCATCTGCCGTGGAGCTGCCGTGGAGCTGCCCCCATTGCCCTGGTCGTCGCCATCACCATCTGCTGTGCCGCGCCTGCGCCTGGAGTCGCCATCGCTGGTGAGTACTTTCTTTCTCCTCCTCGTCGCCCTCCCCGTTGTCCACTTCGTCCTTCCCCTCCCCATGACCATCTTCGTCGTTCTTCTACTCTTCATTGCCATCTTTGTCCTCCTCCTCCCCATCGCCATCTTCGTCATCCTCCCCCCTGTCGTCCTCTTCCTCCTCCTCCTCCCCATCGTCGACTTCGTCCTCCCTGCCACGTCATTTTTTTTTTTTTTTTTTTTTTTTTTTAAATCGCGTTGAAGTTCGCGACGACGAGGGGAGGAGGAAGACGACAATGGAGGACGAACCGTCGACTTCCTCCTCCTCCCTTGCCACGTCCTCCTCCCCGTCGTCTTCCTCCTCCTCCCCATCGTCGATTTCGTCCTTATCGCTGACTTCCTCCTCCTCCTCCCGATCGTCTTTGTCGTCTTCCTCCTCCTCGTCGCCCTCTTCGTCCTCCTCCTCCCCGTCGTCCTCTTCCTCCTCCTTCGCCCGATCTGCCTCTTCCTACCCTCCCCAATGCTGACTTCCTCTGTCCTCTTCCCCCTCCTCCTCCCGATCTGCCTCTTCCTCCCCTCCCCAATGCTGACTTCCTCCTCCTCCTCTCGATCGTCTTCGTCATCTTCCTCCTCCCCATCGCCCTCTTCGCCCTCATCCTCCCCGTCGTCCTCTTCTACCTCCTCCTCCCGATCCTCTTCCTTCCCTCCCGATCGCTGACTTCCTCCTCCTCCCCGTCGTCCTCTTCCACCTCCTCCTCCCAATCTCCCTCTTCCTCCCCTCCCCATCGTGGACCTCATTCCCTCCTCATCGCTGACTTTCTCCCCTCCCCATCACTGACCTCCTCCTCCTCCTCCAATCTTTCTCTTCCACCTCCTCCTCCCGATCTCCCTCTTCCTCCCCTCCCCATAGCTGACCTCATTCCCTCCCCATCGCTGACTTCCTCCCCTCCC